ACTTCTAATTTTTCACTAAGTTATGTGGATTCAGTCTTAAAAATGACTCTCTGATATGGCTTCTCTTAACCTAGATTGTTGCTTCAACCTCCTGAAGTATCATGTCTCCTTAGTCCCTGTATTCCACTGTGCCAAGAGTGAACAGCCTTAAAAAATTATTTTCCCTTTTTTGTTTGTTCTTTTGCTTTAAAATTTCCATTTTTGCCTAGTTTGGCTCCATCCTAATATGTTAGCTTCATTTCCATCCATTTTTCACTTCACACCTCATTTATACTTAGGTTTTTAAGGAAAAGCAATGTCCCAGCCCAACACAGAGACTCTCATATAATTTGTTTAGGGTGGGTTCTAGATATAAATACATTTTAAATCTCCCCAGGTGATTCCAATGAACAATATAGGGTTGAGAACCACTTGTTTATTTCCCAACTTCTGAAATTTCCTTGATATGTCGTGAAATTTAAGTTTCTTCGCCTTTGCATTCACTCTTCTCTTTACCTGATGAACTTTTCTTTACTGTTTAGTCTTCAAACCTTAGTTCAAAGACCATGTCCACTTTGAAACTTTCTCAGATGAAATGATCTGAAGGTTTGTGCATTTGTTATCATGCAAATGTTGAAACACAAGATGATAGTGTTGGCATTAGGGAGGGGATTAGATTCCACACTTATGAATGGAATTACTGCCCTTATATAAGAGGACCCAGAGAGTTGTGTTTCCTGACCACTATATGAGGTCACAGAGAGAAGGCACCATTTTTTGAGTGAGCAAATAGGTCATCAACAAACACTGAATATGCTGTTGATTTAATATTGGACTTAACAGCCTCCAGAAAGGGGACAATAAATTTTCAATTGGTTTACAATATTTAGTTATAGCAACCCAAATGCCTTAAAATGCCTGCTTCCTCAGGCAACACTTCATGAATCCCTCTACTTTAATATTATCATATTAAAAAAATATTTAGTTTATTTGCTTCCTTCTGATAGGGAACAGATAGACATGGGTAGTAGAAACATGAAGTTAAGGGAATGAATCTCCTAAACTGGGCTTACTGTGTTGACCCCCACATGATTTCTCTTTTCTTTGTTTATTTTAACTTAATTATATATATATATATATATATATATATATATATACGTAGTGCTGAGGATCAATCCTAGTACCTCACATGTCTAGACAAGAGCTGTACCACTGAGCCACAAACCCAACTCTGTTTTCTCTTTTCAAAACTGATTTACCTGTAACCCTGCCTGGCTTAATTTGACAAGATATGTTACATCCTCAGCAAACTACCTATTATCTACAAAAGAAATGAAGGTCTTAAATGCATATGATAAGAAGAAAACACGTTACCCTGAAGTGGGAGATTTTATGATTCTTACACAGACCAGATCCAGATTCCAGAACTCAGAAAGACAAAGATAATTCTTCCTAACCCTGTACTTGTATTTTTTTTTTGTACTGGGGATTGAATTTAGGGGTGCTTAACCACTAAGCCACATCCACAACCCTTTTTATTTTTTATTTATAGACAGGGTTTTACTACGTTGCTTACAGCCTCACTACATTGCTGAGGCTGGGTTTGAAACTGGGAGTCTCCTGCCTCAGCCGCCTCCTGAGCCATTAGTATTACAGGCATGCACTGCTGGGATTATAGACATGTGCTACCGTACCCAGCTGTAACCACATAATCTTTAAGAACAGGTTCTAATTAGAACTGGTTAGAATGGGCTAAAGTGACCTAGAGTTGTCATGGCAGTGGGGACTTGAATGTATCATGTTATCCTTCTGTCAGTCAAAAGTCAAGAGGTGGACCTGGATAGATGTCTCTAGAAATTTCTATGGGACCCCCCAAAAAACTGGATGGCAGTAGAGGCATGTTGTTTCTCTCTTCTCTGAGAGGAACCATTTCCCCCCTTGAGAGTGTCCCCTTTTTTTCTTTCTTATCCCTTCTAATAAATTCATGCCTGCTACTCTGAGTGACACATCTGAAATCTTTCTGGCATGATTGCAAGAAATCAGGGTCTTAAGGGGGAGTATCTGTACTGCCTCAGTTGTGCAGAAAGAACCAGACCTGTAATTTCAAAGAAGAATGTGCCACCCACCATATTGTCTTATCATGATACATTTATAAGGTTGTAGTAGTTTGGACATGGGTTCAGTAGCCAAACTTAAAACTTGCTTAAATAAGAAAGAAGTTGAATATATATCTTATATCTCTATATATCTCTAGGCCAGTGGTTATCAATCAGGGATGATTTAAGGTCACAAGTCAGGATGGGAGAAAGGGAGATGAGGGAATGAAGGGTGGAAGTTCTACTAACCTTTAGTGGTTAGAGGTCTGCAATGATAATGAATAGCTTACAATCCACAACAAATAAATATCCAACATAAATATCAATAAAGACACTGTTATGAAACCCTGCTTTAGCCATAAACAGTCCAGGACTAGTAGGGTGAATTTCCCCATACATTCATTGTTTCATCTTTTGGCTCTATCGTCTCTAGGGGTTTTCTCTCATCTGAATGATTCATCAGTACAGCTCAGCAGCCAGACAGAGAGGGAAAGAAAGGAAGGCAGACTTCTTTCTTTTATGGCATGACTTCATATTTGTATGCATCAGTGTTCACATCTGTTTGTCCTAAACTTGTTTACACAGCTCCCCAAGCTACATAAGGTACTGGGAAATGTAGTTTTATTCTGTGATGCTTGTGCCATGCTAAACCTTTATTATTGTGTAAGAAGGCAGAACAAATTCTGGACAACTAGCTTTACCTGCTACATGTCTATATCTTCTACTGTATGACATCTCCAGGGTAAACACTGTATCATGTTCATCTCTAGATCATTAGAGTAATAACTAGGACTAGTATTGGAAATTAGGAGTTGCTCAGGAAAGATTTTTTTAAATAAAGGGCTGTTACTCAAAATTAGAAGGGTCATTGGACAACTGAACACTGAGATTTTCAATTTAAAAATGGTTATTGTTACAGAAATACTTCACTATTTGCTTTCTTCTTGATGGCCAAGAGCTTAAAACAGTTCAACTGCATGAGTTTTATCATGATCTCTATGGCACCAACCTTCCAAATTTTCCCTACTTTGAGTGCCATCTTGAAATTCCTTTTTACAGTCATAGCCTAGGACATCTCTTGGGGTTAAAGACAAGGTTCTTCTTGGTCCTGGGATAGCTATTTGGATCTCCTAGAGATGTCATTTGGGCCTGTCATAGCTTTACATTTATTCTCATACCACATTTATTTATTCACTTTTTATGATCAATTATTTAATTTCTTTCTTTTAAAATATTTTAGTTGTTTATAGACCTTTATTTTATTTACTTATTTATATGTGGTGCTGAGAATTGAACCCAGTACCTCACATGTGGTAGGCAAGCTCTCTACTGCTGAGCTGCAATTACAACACCAATTATTTAATTTCTTATAATTCCACAAGTAAGACAGACATCTTGGGAGCTGGGGACAAGAAACTAGAGAGCAAAGGCAGCTAATTTAGCCTGGGCTTTTCTTATACCATCACAAAGTTTCCCTCAGAGGGGAAGAGATTGCTGGTGGGTTCTACTTTGCTTGTAGGTTTTCTCTAAGTTGAGCACATAATAAAAAGACTGCTCTCTTTGAAGTTCTTCCTAACTTTACCACCTACTTCTCAGCCAATCCCTTTGTGTCCACCACTTTCTAGTGTAACCACCAAAATGGAAATTCGTAAAATGGTTCCCAGTGAATTGATTACTGTCCAACTATTTCCTTTATGAGGGCCAATGATGGAAAGTGAAGCATGTTAAAATGAAAAAGACCCTGGTATCTAGGCTCTAGTCTTGAGAGTGAACATTGTGATCTTGGATATGTCATTTTCATTCTCTGTACTTTTGTTTCTACAGATGTGTACAAAGTGGAGGGTTAGATTGGAAATCCCTGGAAGGGCTTCTGATTTTATTACTCCCTTACATTAGTGAAGCATTTTTACATGCATAATCTAATGGTTTTGAATTAGGGGTCTGGCATCAAACATATCTGAGTATGCATCTGGGTCTCACCACTTCCTAGCTATATGATGTAGGGTCAGTTATTTATTCTTCCTCTGCTTTAGTTTCTATTGGACAGCAGCCTGTGGAAAAGGAATAAGGTGAGGGAAGTAGAATTCTGATCCTATCAATCTAACTGGGGTCAGTGGAGGTGTGAGGATGGGGGAGAGGACACTAAAGGGGTCCCCTAGATTTTCTTTCCAGTTTTCCTGGGAGGATAGGCAGAGGGCAATTCAATTACAGTGTCAGCTCGGGCTTAACCCTCTTTCCCCAGAAGGTTTTGTGGATATTTCACTCTACTTCTTTTTCCATATGTACCCCAAGTCTCTGCCTTCATGGAGAAAAGAGGCGAATGAAAAGTTAAGAAAAATATGGCTTCCACATTACAGCATTCACTCTGTGCCTCTGTATTAACCTAGGGAAAGGTGAATGACCACTATGAACCTCAGTTTCGTCCATTGTAACACAAGTTCTCTACTTAATTGTAGTTCCCACACCCATCTTCCTCACACTTCCTAGCACTCTAAAAATTTGTATTTCAGTAATTCAGCCTCCAAGCAACCTCAGCAGCGTCTGACTCTGAAGGCTGACGCCCACCTAGCTCCAGAACTCTCCTTTGTAGCATACTCTAGATGAAGTCTGTGTTTCTTGTCCTTCATGAAAGAAGCCCCCACACTCCTCGGGATCAGGCCCCACTTATCAGTCAAAGGAAAGTCATACTGGGGGAGGGTCTAGTGAGTTCTGCATAGGAGAGAAGGGAAACATCACCCCATGTCTTGCTCGCTCCCTAGCTCAGAGCAGCTTTCATATCTAGGGCCCTCACTCAATTCTGTACTCCCTCCCTGCTGGCTGCACTAGTCTCCTCTGACTTAACAGGAAGCCTTCCTTCCCCCAGGTTCCCCTCAGGCATGTCCCACCCCCCTTCCCTGTCTTGAGACAGGCTGTCTGAACTTCCTCCCTACGGACACTCTGTGCTGCCTTCTCTCAACTTTTTCCAGCAGAAAGTTGGGAGCTCCTCAGAGCTGAGCGGCACCTGTAGTGTTGCCATTTGCAGGGAGAGGCACCGGAGGACCCCAACCAGCTCACCCTCCATCAAAGGTTATCAGGGAACTGGGAGCCTGGGCGGAGGTAGGGGAAGGCAGAGAGAAAGAGTCCTTGTCTAGATTTCCTAGTCTGTGCTTAACTCAGAACAGCTGGGTATCTTTAGAGGCCCTTGGAGGGGTTCAGAGTTGTTGGGAAGAAACTAGCCAGGAACTGAAAATTCAGGTGTGGGGGAGAAGCAGTAGAGCCAGAGTTCAGAGGTGAGAAGTGAGAGGGCACACTCTTGATTGCCGCACCCTGCATTTTTCTCGGACCAAGGAAGGAGACAACATAGGAGGGAGCAAGAGCACCACTCTGCCCTCACTCAGCATTCTAGGATGCTTGTGAGGTGCCATGGTTCCCTGGCCTTCTGCTTCCTGCTTGTCCTGCTTGAAACTCCAGGTAAGTGACGTGGTGCCTTTCAGCTGCCTGGGCATCCATGTTTCCTGCTGGCTCTCCAACCCAAAAGCTCAACATAGAGAGATTAGGGGCACTGGAGAGAGAATGAAGAATCTTCACTGATCTGTGGCTTGCTAGGCAGACCTCCTAGCCCAGTTCTGCAGATAATTATGGCTGGAAGGTATCAAAGTCAGGGGTGAAAGAGTGAAGCAAAGCATCCAGAGTGGGCAACTGAGTGTCCCTGGAGTGAGCGTGGCCAGGTTTGTACCCAAATTTTCCACATGGAATGTTTGGTAGTTGTTAGCTTGCTTCCTTCTCAGAGAATACACACTGTGTGAGACATCAAAACAAAAATTTTTCTCTGATGAGGATTTCTTCTTTTTTTTTCCCAAGCTACTAAGCTTTACCTTTCCCTTTTATATTCTGGCCTTAACTCCAAAGCCAAGAATGACCTTTCCACAGAGCTTCTAGGTTGTGTCCAAACTATATGCCTAAAAGTTTAGAAAACAGAATAATTAAAAGTAAAAAGACATATGTGCACTCTTGCATTGACTTTTGGAAAGTGTAACTAGGAAAAGAAAGGGGAAAAGAAGATAGTCTGAATTGTCAAGATTTTTTGGATAGTTATTTTAGATGTGTTGCTGTTTACAACTGTCAAGGGCATTCTGCTCCCAATGTGTTTTAAATTATACTAAAAACCTTAGAAAAAGAAAAGCAAAGCCCTTAGTAAAAGCAGGCACTAGCTTTTGATTCAGTCATTGTCCTCTTCTCTGTAAAGGAGAGGCAAGGGAATCCACCCTCCAGAATGTGGTATCTGTCATACCATTCCCAGCCATGGGTATGCTCAAAGCTCCTCAGGGTCAAATACTTAAAGGTACCAGCAGGGATGTACGGGATATAATACTCTTTCTGTCCCTGCCTTTGCTGAAGGTTGGAGATGGCTTGCTGTGCTGCCTTTATAGTTCTCCAGACAGACAAGGCATTCAGAAAAATCTCAGATCCAAGCTTTCCATCTATATGCTCTCAGCCAGTTCCTGCAATGGGATAGACTAGTCAGTGGGCAGAAGTAGACATAACTGGAAAATGTGGATAGCTTATCTTTTATTTCCTACTTGCATTTTCCTTCAGCACTGAGTTTTCTTTTGTTGGAGTTTCATTGCTTTCTCTCACCCTTTATAGCCTTACATCAGGAGTCAGAATCTGGTATTGTCAGTATGTGTCCTTGATTATTTCAACTCTTTGAACATCTAAAGATTCTTTAAGGTAATTAATTACAACATAATGGTAAGTGATAATATATGTTAGCTATTCAACAAAACTTTTTATCTTGTAGAAAGGGAAGAGTAGTGGTTGTTTGAAAAACTGGTCTTTCCTTTTAGCTGTGCTGCAAATTCACTGTGTGTCTTCTGTTCTCTAGGCCTTGGTTTTTAATTAGAAAAACAGAGGTGCATACTTTTATTTGGCTTCCATCTTCATTGTCAGGAGAACAAAGAGCAAACAAAGTAAAGTAAATATTGGTAGGAAATAGATAAAATGTTCAGTGTTTTAAAGAGGGAAAGAGAAAATTTTTCTGCCAGAATTGGGTAAAAATTTCCCAGCTAAAAGAATGGTTTCCCTGGGTACTAAGGAAACTTATGGGTAAAACTTTAGAACCTATGAAAACAGTTCCTAGGGATGCCACACATCTAGAGAGGGTAATTGTAGTTTTATCTTTGAAAAAGAAGGAAAAAATACCTGTGTTCTTGATGTTGATGGCTCTCCTCTGGAATAAAATGTAGACACATTGATTTTGAAAGCTTTTAGAGGAGGAATCCATAATCATTAGAACTTGTTTTGGTTTCCTGTGGATAGGACTTGTCATAATAGCTCAGTTTCTTTTAAAAATGTGATTTATATTGTCTAAACAAAAGGGAATGCTGGAAACAGATTTTTGGGGCTGCTGAAGACATTGGGTAGTTAATTTTCCTATCTTTCTGGGAAGGATGGAGAAATTTGGATATTGGATTTAGGAGAATTTGCAAATGTTTTGAATGATGTCTGATTAGAGGTTACACAAACCATAGAATTGTCTGATTAGAGGGTACACAAGCCATAAGATTTTAAAATAGAGTGTCTCGAGGACAACATCTAAAGAAGAAAAATACAGTTGATTTTGGCCTCATCCTCTTCCATATTTTTATGCTACATATGAGAATTATATCAATTATACTAATAAGCAAATATTCAAATTAAAAGTAGAAAGGAAATAGAGTCAGTTACATAATTAGGACACAAAAGAGCAATATGAATTTTAATAAGCTCAAATGTAAACACTTAACTTTGGGAACACCCTCTCCAAAAAAAATACAAAGGGTAAATTATTCTTTAAAGACAGAATGAGGAAGACATGGCTTATAGACATGGGGGTTTGAAAAGTTATTTTGGGGGGTTTATTTTGAATTTATATCATTGTTTGTGCTGAATTTATAGGCAGGTAACACATTTATAGTTTAGATTAACTGAATAGTGTCTGAACTATTAGTTGCACTTTTTTCTTCATTGGTCAGCCTATCTTGTTATACTGTAGCCTGACTTGGGCCTCACATTTTCTGTGGGACACTGACAGACTACAGTATTTAAAGAAGAGATTAAACAGGATGGAGAGTATTCTTGGTATGTTGTTTTATAAGGAACAAAGGATATTCATATATTTAGCTAGAAAAAAATGTTCAAGGAGATGAATTGTAAAGGGAGTTTGAAATTTGTCTACAAAAACCTAAAGGTTTTTTTTTACATGCAAGAATATTCTGACCATTTTGGCTGCACCAAATTAAATGGGCTGACTTGGAGATCACTGGGATTGTTCAGAAAGAGCACAAATTTCACAGTGCACAAAGTTCCTATATCTTCCCTGTGATAATCCTCAGGATATTTAAATATATCTCATTACTGTAGACTAATCTATCCTAGGCCCTTCAATTCTTCTCATATAACGTGATTCTGAATAATTTCTCTGTAATAATCATCTTTTCTTGATATAATTCTATTTAATTATGGCTCACTGAAATTTAGAGGACAAGAGACCTCATTCAAGAAAAAAATCTTATATTCTTATTGTCTGGTCAAACTATGAGTCAATATTAGGTTCTTTAACTATGATGGGGAAGAGTAAAGGTGGAAGCTATTGTGGGAGCACAGATCCAGGAGAAGATCAGTGTGATATCAAATAGATTTTATATTAGCAAGGATTCTATGATTCTATAAAGTATCAACTGCTCAATATACATAGAGTTTACTAAGGATTGAGGGAAGAAAAGAAGTTAATAAATAAAATTATCAGGGATCAGTTCAGAACAATTTGTGGAGCAAAAACTTGTGGAGCCTATAGACATTATGTACCATCAAGTATGACCCTGTACCAATTTAAAAGGCCAAGACAAAAGTTAGCTGGTTCTCAAAGGTAAGTGCTTTTCTCAGGATGATAGGAAGAAACATCTGATTTATGGTGGTTTGATAAAGGTTTCTAATTGGAAACTTTCAAAAAATCACTTTTCTTTACTGAAACGAAGGAGCTTCTTACTAGAATGGGAAAATGATGTAATCTTCAACATTCAGCTGAAATTAAGTTATTGAACTTCCTGCCTTTCTGTCAAGTTTACAAAAGGAAAGAATGCTGAATCTCTTCAGGGAATGCAAAGTGGGGGCAGGGGCTTGGTGAACTGAAAGGTGTAGGGATTCAAGGTTCATTACATATTCCTTGTTTTTGGTGGCCCCAGACTTTCCATTTTGAAGTCTTTTTCCAACTTTGTAGATGTTCCCTCAATTTCTACTGGATTTCCTACTGTTCTTCTGCCTCTCTGTAACATGAATATATGCATTTGGCCTGAGGCATACAGCAACCATCCACAAATTTAAATTGAAATCCACTTTGGTAGATTGAGCCTGGTGGTTTTGTTACCAGGTTAAAATGTTAAATTGTGTATTGCTGAACTCTAGGATTTCAGAGAGAACATAAGAGAAGTCCAGTGAGTTAGGATTATATGTCTATACCTGCATTTCCTTTGTCTTTCAATCAGATTTATTTTGCTCTTTTCAATTATACATATTAAATTTTGAGAAGTTCATCTGAAATGATGATCAAAGGTCTAAAATGAAAAAGAAAATACTGGATGATCTCAAGGACTTTTTCCATTTCTAAGAGTCCCTAAGTCTCAAACGTTATTCCCAGGGAAGTTGGGATATCCAAGGAGCAGGAAACCTTATGTTATTAATTCTGCCATTGCCTTTTTAAAAAATATTTTTAGTTGTTGATGGGCCCTTATTTTATTTATTTATATTTGGTCCTGAGAATTGAACTCAGTGCCTCACACATGCTAGGCAAGCACTCCACAACTGAGCCCCAACCCCAGCCCCTGCCATTGCCTTTTGTACGTGATTAATGTAGTATATTTGAGGGCACCTTCCCTTCAAATAGTAAGGTTTCAATTTATTGGCTTGGTGCCATCAAAGTTCTCGTAGCAATCTAAGAGCCAAACATTTATTCTGGGATACTAGAATTAAATAATTTGGATTTATTTTTCTATTGGCCCACTAGTAGTATCATATAATCAGAGAGAGACAAAGCTGCAAGGTGACCCTTAGAGTAACCATACATCCCTGTTTCCTCAGACTGTTGTCACAGCATGAATGTTAGTAATGTCTCAGTTTGGATGATAAATTATATTGTCACTTTACTTCCAATATTGTTAGCCCCAAATCCTTGAGTTACAGAAAGGAAACAGAGGCCTAGAGAGGGAAAGGGATTTACCCATATGGCATCTCTGGAAATCTGGCTTGAATCACACACCTGATTCTTAGTATGATTGGCATTGATCCAATAAAATGAATGTTTACTTTTAATTTGTTTTAAAGAGCTGTTTAATTTGTTTTAAGAAACTCATGCCTCCAGTTCCCTTTGCATATCCCTCAAACCCAGTATAAAAATGTGTTTTCTTTCTGTGTTTTTTTCTTCATATTATCAGAAC